ATCAGCCCTAAAACCCCATGCTCCTTTCAAACGGAACTATAAGCTGGGTTGCTTTTGGGGCTCCAAGTTTTTGCAGCTTCCACACAAGTGCTGGTGTGGATTGAGGGTTGAACGACCCCATGGCAACAGGTCACCGGTGAAATCTCACGGGTCCGAACTTCGACAACTATCAAAGCGCAAATCATCGCAAATCGTATTAATTGCAATGTATACAATCGCTGATTTTGACCTGTGGCATATAGGGCTGCAGCTTCTGAGCCAATTGAGCATTACGCAGCGCAAAAAATGTCATGGCACCGCGAAACAGTGATAGGCATGGGCAAGAACTTCAAATCAAGCGTGCCGGGCCCACGATTGTCCTCGATGAAGCCTGCTTTCATGAGCGCTTTGCATCCCCGCAAAGACGGCATTGACCTAGGCAGACAGGCTTCATGTTGGCAAACATTGGCAAACGAAACAGGCGCAGCCCCGTGGACTACGAACGAAAGCAAACATGTCAGGCAAATGAAATGCGACACCTGGCCCTCACGCACCGCGCATGCAAGCAGAACACCTTTTCCATCCCCTAGACAGTCCTCTACAGACTTCGCATGAGGACATCCCCATGCACTGTCCCCCAAACACTTTTGAAAGTTGAGCTCAACACAATGAGCTGGCGACACGCTTGCTTGGCATGACGGCCCTAACCATGTATATAGACTGTGGAACGTATAAGGTCTGAAACGATGGGGCCTGTAACCTATAGAACAACATTTCTCGGCCGTCAGCCATCTAGACAGCCATGTCCAAAGCTAGCAAAGCATTGTACTTGATCCTGGCCAAAACTTCATGGAAAGGCTGCAGTGGGCTCGGATTCCTTTGGCCATCGATGCCATTCGTATCGACCCAGCACGCCTTGAATGGGATGTCAGCACTTGCAACTTAATCTTATGAACCGCCACAACCCCAATCCTATGACCACCAAAACAAAAAAGGTTTCAAAGCTGGTCAAGCCAAAGCCACAAACAGTCGGGCAGCGAAGATCTGGACAATCAAACGCCTGTTGAGCTCCTTGCCCTTCTCGGTCTGACCGATTTCAGGAAAGTAGGCGATTTGCCTCGAATCTCCGTCTGCGACCCACTTCACGGCTGCGGCAGGCCTGTTCCAATAGGGCATGACTCGAGTTCGAGGAAACCATTTCAGGTCAGATGCCAACATCACCTTCAGATCTTCCAAGGGAACCGAAGGGTCAGCAGCTTCCGACTTCAGCCTCCCTGCAAAGTCTCGCAAAATGCCTTCGTCCCTCAGGTGTTCCTGAGTGACTGCATCATCCACCCTCTGTGGTCTCGAGCTGGCCCTCTTGGCCTGAGCCTTCGGCCTTGCTTCAGCAGAAGCATTGCGGACTCTCTTCTGCCGCGTGGATCCCGAGGCTGCGGATGCTTCGGCCTTTGCCTTTGCCTTTGCACGCGGCTTGGCGGCTTTGGCCTTCGCCTCCTTTGCCTTCATCTTGGCCACAAGCGGATCAAGGATGTGGTGAGGGTGCTCAGCCATGGGATCCCCCTCACCTTCCTCCACAAAGAGCCTTCTCCGGACAGGGTCGTGATGGTCCACCTCTTCAGGGCTTGAGGCCTCCACGGCATCACTGCCTTTCCTAGCCTGGCGCTTGGTCTGGCTGCGGCCCCGGCCACGTCCATGACCACGTCAGCCAATTTCCTCAAACTCTGGCTCTTGAGATCCTCGAGGTTCATAGTAGCGGGTGTCCTGCATCTTCAGCTTTGTCGCCCGGGCCAATGGTGACAGCTTCATCTTTGGCGACAACTGCAGCTTCTTTGGGCCTGGCTTGGTCTTGGCGCCAAGCTCAATTGAAGTTCCTGAGAGCGCGTTTCTAGTGCAAATTTTCACTGGTGATGCTTTGAAGGCGAATGATGCTGCCTGGGATTTGGAAAGCAGGATCATTGTATCAAATCAGAGGGATGACCAATCTGCTCGTAGAGTTGCCCTCCGTGTGAAGTGTTTGGTGCACCAGATCAACCTGATACGCAAGCCATGCCCTCGGGAATGCCCTTCTTCAGCTCCAATTGGTCTTTGCGGGTAAGCACCGGCGCCAGCTCTGTGAAGCGAGCCCATTCATCCTACAACAACATGCGCAGTCTTTAGTCGGTGGTTGATTGTATCAACCACAGCCCAGAGAACATCAAACAAAACGGATCAACCCCCGTTCAATCCCCACTCAAAACTAATCCCAAAGACGCCTGAGAAGGCTTCTGCGGCGCATTCTTCTCAACCTTGGGATTGCCCTCAGAACGGTGCAAAGGCCCAGGCACCAAGGAGGGTTCCTCAAACTTTGGAACAGGCGGCAATGCAAGTATCTTCCTGCCATGGATGTGGTCATAGAAGTCATCCGGCTGAGACTCCGCAGTGTCCGAGTTCATGGGCTGTGTCTCGTCCGTATCACGCACGTGTCCTGCGACCATGACCATGTGGGACACCAACACAGTGAGAACATTTTTGTCATAACCGAAATGGCGTTTATCAATTCAAAAACGGTTGTGATCGATGCACTCATACTCTCAACATCATTTTGCAAAACCGTTCCTGCAGGCGGAAGAGTCAGACGCGGAACAGGGTCACGCGCAGCCAAGCTCTCCTTCTGGCCCACTTGCCTATAGGGGTTGATCAAACTTGATTGCAGAGGCTTACTGTTTTTCCGTGGCCCCGTGGTTTTTTAGAGGGTTCTTTGGAACACACTAGTTCAAATCCTTGCGCCGTGAGAAGCCAAGGAACAGCAGCTGGGTCTCCACCTGCTGCGAAAGAAGACGCTTCTTCTCGGCAATGCGCTTTTTGAGCTCCTCGATGGCAGTGGCGTCACCTGGACTGGACAGTTTCTACAACTTAGGGGACCTCAACATGGATGCCATCCCAAGAGTGCCAACCCCCCAAAAAATAAACTATACCCAAAAAGGTTTGCGTTGTTGATATGGCAAGTGGCCAGACAGAGCTTTTGAAACTCCGGTGCCAGTTGTGCCCACACCACTTGAAGAACTTGCTTTCTCCTCAGCATGGCCCCCACGGACTTCTGTGGGGCAACTCGCTGCAGCCGCCCCAGGAATTGTCGATGAGGGTGCTGGTGGCTGCGGCGATTCTGGTGCCGGGCCAGGAGCGGGAGTGCTGTTCTTGCCATCGAGCCAAGTTTTGAACTCATCAAAATCGAGCCTGCTGTCTTCGTCCAACTCCTCACCCAAATCATCCTCAGCCACATCAGGCTCCATGGAGTGCAGTTTGTTCAGCCCCTTCATGCTGATGTTCTGCATGTGCTCTTTGATGGCCACCTAACCAGGGTCAGCTAAAGTCCATATGCTGTAAAGAGGCCCGTGGAGTTCCATATGACTTTGAAACATGGCTATTGTTTCCCCACGCAGTCACGCAGTCTTGCCTCCAACGACGGGTCCAAGGCCAACATCAGTGGGTGAAAGCGAGAGTCCTTCACATGGAAAATGTTCAAAACAGCCGTGCGTGATCTAGAAACAAAACCATGATCATATAACATTTTCGAACAAGTTCAAACCAATTTTCAAATTCCATATCCTTGGTGTATTCTTTCCGGTTCACTTTGCGCTTGACTAGCCCAAGCAGCTTCTTGATCTCCACACCGTGACGCCAAACCTGCCTCTCTTGTGGCTCGACGCCACAAATCTCAAAGAACTTTGCAATTTCCGTTTGCAAAGCTGGAAGAAAAGGAAGACTTTTGTTCGGAGACGAACGCATGCGATGCAGGCACGGGATCAAAACCGAGCTGTTGGCACAAGCATTGGCCCTGGTTGGCTCAACCCATGTTTTCGCGGGGTCCTTCACAAGCAAGGTACTTTGCTCACGAACCCGGGCACGGGTCAACGTAGACTCCTCCCACTCAGTGCTCAGTCCACCCACCTCCATGTTGGACAACTGGGTCAAAATGGGTCTCAAACCCAACTTGCAACTCGAGCCAAAAACCCTTTCAGCCCAAACAGTGCCTCCGCTGCGCAGGACTTGATGCGATCACTGGCTGTCTTGGAAAAAAAAGCTGAGTGCCTGGCTTGGGGCTGGATCAGTCGGCCATCACCCATTCCATCAGGCGGTAAGCGTGTTCAGACTCACAAGTCATATTTTATATAGGTCGACTTCTTGGTGACAGCTTGAGTCTGAGTCTGTGGTGTCATGATGTTGCGATCATTTCTCAACAACATCTTTCCATGGCCTGAGCCCGGAGACTTCAAAGATGGGCTGAAAGTGGGATACAGCCATCATTTGCTGGGTAGGCCTGGACATCCAGACCTTCAAATCCCATCTTCACAAAAAACCAGGTTTTTTAGAAAAAACAGGTTTTTTTGCAATCATGAAGAAAAACCAGGTTTTACGATCTTGACCTGGAAAAAAGTAGGTTCTCGACTTAGCAGGTATATATAAATGAATCATGTTGAGAAATTTCAATATGTCCAAACATAGCTTTTCAGTTAAAGACACATATTGTTTTAAGAATACCCTTCGAGGTGTTCCGAATTGCAAAGAAGAGAGAGAGAGAGAGAGAGAGAGAGCGACGTGGAGAAAGAGATGAACCATGATGAACGTATTCTTGATTGAGGCCTTCAACCCGTCCATGTTCATTGAGGAATCCTTTAGGTTTTAGTTGATTTTGCCTATGAATCCGACCGCTCATCCACAGCACGACACCCCCAACCACCTATTCCAACCATCGGAGAAACAACCACCGGTCACCTTGGAAGGATGCGGTTAGACGTCGGAAGGGTAGAGTTCGCCATCCCTTTTCCAACAGAAACAGACAACACTGGTCACCGGCCGGTCACTTCAGAAGGGTATAGCTTGATGTATGTTGCAATCGGTTTGAGGAAAAATGCACCTCAACATCCTTCCCCCAGCAAAAAACATGCGCGCCCTCTACCCCGGCCTCTGATCCCCCTAAACCAGCGCCCTCCACACGTGCTCCCCCCCAACCATCCCGGATTCGCCCCTCCACCGCGACCGAGGTGGGCGATGTCCGAGGACTTGTCGACGCGCTTCATCGCCTACGGCTGGAACGTGCTCCGCGTGGGCGACGCCAACGACGTGGAGGTTGTGTGGGTTGCGATGAAGCGGCGGGGGCGTGGGCGAGGTTTGGGTGGGGGGTGGGGGGTGGGTGTGGGTCGGAACGGGGGGGCGGCCAAGTGAAGTGTGGAGACGTGCGGCCTAGGGATGTAGACGATGGATGCCCTGAGATTCGAAGAACCTTTGTTTTAATGGTCTGAATCCCAAAGAACCATGGTTTTAAGAAGGTTTTTTACATATGTTTACTCTATGCCGCCGGGTCAAACATATTTTTCATGCTCAAAGTGAAGGCTCCTAGGCCCTTAGGGTAGACTTCTATGGATGAATACATCTGACAGACTGATGTAAATTCCATGGGGTTGGATGGTGTGTTGTTCCTATCCAGCGCCTTGACACCTTGAATGTGACACCTTGACGTCCTCCCTGGAACGGCGTTTCGGCACCGGCCGAGCGCCGAGGAGTGCTTTCGGGGCAACAAAACGAACTGGTTCTTCCAACGGCTGAGCATCTGTGGTTTCCAAGGGTGCAATGGTTTTTTTGCCATGTGAGTCTCTCCACTTTCGAGAACAAAGACGTGTTGGCTGCGGCCCTGTGGGCCGCCTGCGCACCGCAACGCAAGACCCGCGACTAGGCGTTGACCCGAGCGTTTTTGAGCTTCAGAAGGGAGTTCCTTGGACGCGAGTATACTTGGCGCCCCAGATCTGCGTCGCACGCCAGGTCTCACCTGGCTCGAAGGTGGGTTTTGGAAGTGGAGGAGTTGTCCCCCAAAGTCATCCCAAAAAGAGCAACAACCTTGAAACAACACGGGAAGAGGAGTTAGACCACATGGTTCGGAAGGACCAGATGGTCGCGCTCCAGTCACGCTCAAGCGCGTCCAACGACGAAGTACTGATACCCACCCACAGTTGTCCAGTCGTGCACCTTGACATTCAACATGGTCGTCGCCCTAAATAAGATTCCTTAGGGGAAAATACGCGAACCCGAACCAAACCCTATTACCCAGACACTCCATGTATACCATATATACCCACATTAGGGTGGTTTGAGGGGTCAATGTAGGCATATATGGCAGTCCCATGGAGTGTCTGGGTTATGTGTTGCTTCGGGACCAGATTCTTCCTCGTGAGAGTTCGGTTCTCGCGTCGGTTCTGAGGCACAGGATGGAACCTTTTGTAACCTTCACAGGCGTAGAAGTCTGGGTCCTTGGCCACAAAAGATCCCGGGCCACACCCGGGTGCTTTACACGACTTTGCGGGTGAGTTCGCTCCCTCCCTCCCCATGTCCTGCCAGCTTCCAACCCCTCGCGCCCAAAAACCCTCCCCACCCCCCACCCCCCCACCCAAAGAACCTTCCCCATGGCATCCGTCTGTCCCAACGCTCGGCCGAAACGCGAAACCCGCGGAGGTCCGATCGACCGACCTTGATCGTGGTGGACTCGCACATCGCCTGGGGGGCGCCGACCAAGCAGGACCGCCGAGCCACGCCGAGCCCCGCCGGACCGCCGGACGGCCGAGCCGCGTCGCTCGACCCGGTCGGGGGGACTCGGACCGGACCGGGTCGAACGAGGGGTGCGGAGCGGAGCGACGGCAATGGGGTGAGGAGCGACCTCAACTGAAGCGGTGCGGCGGTGGACAGAACATGGGAGAGTGCTTGGGTGAAAGCCCGGGGGATCGAAGCGGCTCGGGGCAGAGAGGGAAACTGATGCAAAGTGCTTGGATTTGGTGGGTGAAGTGCTTGCAATCTTCAACTTGGATGGAGTATAGGCGTTATGAAAGCATGAGAAAGGCAGGGGAAGGCCTGTGAAACCGAATGGATTCCATGAAACTCAGTGGAAAGAGAGGTCAAGAATGATGGATGTTCCTTCCATCATGCCAGACACTCGGGCACGGAACAATCGTGGGCATTGGATATATTCTTGAGCGTTCTTAAGCCAGCAACTAATCAATCGAAAAGAATGAAAAACCATGAATTCGGTACCCCCCCGCCGGTTCTTCGAATCACAAAAATAGATGGACCAGAAGACTCCACAACAATTCCAAAAGAGAAGAAGGCATCATGAAGTCAAACTACATCCCCAAGAGTGACCTAAAGACCGCTGAATCCCAATAGATTTCATATATTTATGATTTCATGTTTGGATAGTTAGGTTGTTTAGGTTACGTGATAGGGATTGATGTTCACGAAAAAGAATAATAAAGGCCGAGCAACCCTCAAAGCTTGCATTTGAATGTGTTGTATGTTTTGTCCAATTATTTGCTTGGTCCTTTCCATGTGTTTCACCTTCCGCAGTACTCCTTCCACGCAGGACTCCTTCCACGCGCATGGCACGCCACTGGGCGACAAGGAAGTCACCGCCAGGAGCCTCAGAGGCGGCTTCGGAGGTGGCAGTCCGGTCGTTTGCCCGGATAGGGAGACGGAGCGAAGAGCCGCGTTCGTTCGGCTGAGCCGCGTTTCTGAGCGCCAGAACGAAGAGGGTGAAGTCTTTTGGAAGTTGTTTTTTTCGAGCGACTGAACGGTGTTTCTGTTTCTGTGACACTACAAAAGCGAAGACCGGTCTTCTGCGAAAGGGTCTTCTCTTCGCTGTTTTGGAAACATCTCTACGTGGCCGACTCGGTGACGTAGAGGCAACCGTGACGTGCCGGTCGAAGGAAACGACGACGTGCCGATCCCATTCGTCCCCCGGGAACCAGCGAGCCCCACGGAGTCAGCGAGCGAACCAGGCGACGAAGCACATCTACAACTGGCCCGATGAGAAGTTCCTGGCGCCTTCGGTGGAGACGGGTGCAACACGTGTGGAGACGGTGATATAAATGTACACACAAGGTCCCGGGGTCGTGTGGGACATCTGGGACATCTGCGGCATATATGAAACCCTACATTGACCCCTGGAACCACGCCAACGCATGGTTTCATGGGCCAGTCCCAGCTGGCGGTCATGAGACAGGATGCATCTCTTCCAGGCGGGTTCCATGTCCATGGAGGAAGAAGTAGAGGTGCCCCTGTCACATCCACTGGATGTGACGAGCCACACCACCCCAACCTGTGACCTGGAACGCCCAGCTGCGCAGAAACGAGACTCTGGGTGCCCCTGAATGACTCTTTGATGAGAAAAAACAAAAGAGTCAACAACTGGGTGATTGAAATAAAAGATAAGAGTCCAGACAGTTTTACAATCCTTGATTCCTTGATGAAGTAAAAGCATCAACAAAGCCCTCGGACATGGATGGTAAAACCTCTTCTAACTCCCTTGCTTTGCGAGTCCGCTCAACTGGGGCTTTTCAGCGTTCTCGCGCCACTGCAGATGGTAGGGGCGTTGAAATATCATCCACGTTTCGTTTGACCAAAACGTTAGGTCCTATGCTTGAGGAACCCAGAGGTGTTGCAAATGGTCTAGGTATAGACATTGGGTTTGTCCCATTACCTGTAGAGCCGTCGGTCAACAAGAAGCATCACGGTGTTTGAACCAGGCCTGCAACAACAACAACATCATCATCATCATCATCATCATCATCATCATCATCATCATCATCATCAT